AGGGAGTCAAAAGGTAAAAATTTAAAAAAATAAAAATAAATAAATAAATAAATAAGGTTTATCTGGAAAGGCAAAGGACCTAAAATAGTCAAAACAATTTTTAGAAGAAAAACAACCTGATTTCAAGACCAACCCTAAGGTTAATCAAGACAGTGTGGTGTTGGCATACAGGTGAACATACAGCACCATAGAGTTTAGAAATAAATCTATCTATATATTATTAGTTGATTTTCAACAAAGGTACCCAAGGTAATTTTAAAAAGCCACACTGAAAGATTTTATTACCAATAAAAGCTTCTTAAGAGTATGCCTGAAGAATTAACAAACTTTTTCTTATATGAAGTTCTGAGAATCAAAGTGAAAGGTAGGAACCACGTAAAAGTGCAGGGCTACCAAATCATGTTGTGTGTTGTCTAACGAATACACCAAGTCCTTGGCAGCACTCGTTTCCAAAGTATTTAGATACAATAAAAGTATAAATCCACATATTTGAATTAAATCAAATATCAAATCCTCTGCTATTTGAATAACTGACCTGATGACAAAAAAACCTCCACTTCAGAAAATTATTTTCTTTTTTTTTTTCAATATATTTCTATTGATTTCAGAGAGAGGAAAGGAGAGGGAGAGAGATAGAAACATCAATGATGAGAGCGTCATTGATCAGCTGCCTCGCCCGCTACCCGGGCATGTGGCCTGACCGGGAATCGAACCCCGATCCCCTGGATCCTAGGTCGACGCTCAACCGCTGAGCCATGCCCAGCCGGGCCCAGAAAATTATTTTCTTTAATAATTTGTTAACATATGATGTTTCTGTCACATATGTTGCATCTTATTTTTTATACTTTTATCAGATCTGATTAGCACCAAAAAATTGACAGTAGTGTAGAAACTGACCACAAAACTCTGGACACCCAGGACAACTGAGTTATGCCCATAACGGGGTTGAAAAAGATGAGCCGATGAAGGCCACCCAGTACATGACCATAAGGAANCCTGGATCCTAGGTCGACGCTCAACCGCTGAGCCATGCCCAGCCGGGCCCAGAAAATTATTTTCTTTAATAATTGGTTAACATATGATGTTTCTGTCACATATGTTGCATCTTATTTTTTATACTTTTATCAGATCTGATTAGCACCAAAAAATTGACAGTAGTGTAGAAACTGACCACAAAACTCTGGACACCCAGGACAACTGAGTTATGCCCATAACGGGGTTGAAAAAGATGAGCCGATGAAGGCCACCCAGTACATGACCATAAGGAAACTCGCCTGCAACAGGAGGGTCTGAGCGGCCTTTTCTCTGGGGAAGTTCTTGGGGACAGGCTGGTGGTAGTGCTGGGACTGCCTCTGACGTCTGCACGTGCGAGCAGCGTAATTCCTGAACAGGAGGCATCTTTTACTAGTGGCACCATGAGAAACAGGCTCCAGATGATGTAGGTTATAGAGGACAGTGAGGAGAATTTACTGGCATTTAGCAGATTGGTCTTGGTCACAGTGGAAGACACAGTGTAGGAGATAAGGTTACTACTGAAAGACCAACTGAGGACCCACAGAAGATGTAACTGGTGGGTTTCTGTGTAAACCCGGCGGACCAGGCGGTCCTGGGGCCGATGATGATGATCTGGAGCATGCTCAGGAGGCAGGTGTTGCAGATGGAGAGGCCCCTCATTACCTTGCTCATGTAGAAAACCACTTAACAGTTGAAGGCATTCTGAAAACTCAGTGACTCACAGAGGTCTGGGGACACCAAGAACAGTAGGGTGAGGAGCACCGGTCCGTGGACAAGGGCCCAGTGACAGGTGGTCATGTGGATGGCCTTAGGCCTGAGACCCAGAAGGAGTGGAGAAGTAGAAATGTGTGAGCTGAGACCAATGCCGGCTTGGAACAAAAGGCATTTTTTAATGATAAGTGGAAAGTGACCATCTTAATGGAAAAAAGGGAAGATTTTATATTTTAGAAAAAAATAGACCTCCCACCATCATTCCATAATAAAATTAAAACATTTCCATCATCATTTTAATTTTGCCTATTTATTCTTGATTAACTCTATCTCATAAAATTTTAATAATACAGACTTGGCATGAGTTTTGACACCAAATAATTCCTATATATTAAACACCATCCACAGTCATACCTACATCAGCTGCACATGGTCTATCCCTTTTTAATACCTGGGGTTAAAAGTGCTTTAGGAAGCACTTCTTTGCTTTCTGCATTCCTTCATTTCATATTCACAACCCAGCACAGTGCTGTGCATATAAAAATAAGTCATGAGTATTTGTACAAATGAGCTAAGTACATTTTATGCTAACAGAAAACAGAATCAACAAAGAGATTTCAGAAAAAAATCATGTTCTGTTGAGTCTATCCCACCTCACATCACTTTGACATTTTTTATTTTTCTTCCTTCCTCCACGTTTAAGTGCCCTTATGATTACTTGGGGTCCAACCTGATAATTCAGGATAATCTCTCTATCATAAAGTAAGCGGATTATCAACCTTGATTCCATCTTCACCTTAATTCCCTCTTTTTCATATTACCTAATATGCCAGTGGTCTGGAGTTTGAGATGTGGCCGCCTTTTTGCAAACTGTATCTACTAAAAATGACCCTGACTCTCTCCCAGTTTAGTTTTCAAACCAGAGAACCCTTATGTAAACTCTTCATTTCAGAAGGGGATTGTGAAAGCCCTCAATTTTCAAGAAGATGAACAAATACCTCCCCCATACACACTTAGTTATATTTGTGGACTCTTTTATATTGAAAAAAAAATGACAATCCAGTAAAAGTATAAAATTTGATGAACAGCAAATAATCCTGTGTACAATATAAGATATTTGAGATTTGTTCTTTAATCCTCTAGATATGCCTGTTTTTTCCCCCTAAATTGTTCCCTACAGGCTGCAACTTTATCACATACAATTCTAATAAGAGTATGTAAGATTGTAGCTTTCAAAATGAATACAGTTTTTGTGGCTGAATAAAAGATCATTGTACATAAACTTAATGTACCCTAGGGAAATTATAAATCATCTACTTTCAATAGGCTCTAGGAAACAGAAATAAGCAGGTATTATGATCTGGTATGATAAAGGATACAGACATAAAACACTTCATAGGAAATAAAGTGCAGAAGGAACAGGAACACATTAGTATTTTAGACTGCATGGTTTCTCTGGAGACATAATCGCAAGTGCCAAAAACTTGTATCTAAATTCACCATAATAGCCACTTCTGTTACTTCCATGGACAAATATTGATTTGTGGTCCTTACTTTAAATGCACGTTTCAATGAAAAATGAAAAATAATACTTTTACTATTCCCTTCATCTACCAAAAACAACCTGGCCGTTTTCCAACAAAAGGGCAAGTGTGATTTCTTAAAAGAGACTTTAGTGTCTTTATTATATACAATTATGTCATTTTTTCTTAAAATGAACACAGACCATTGCATGAAGTTTTCTACATTGGTTTTAAACACACTCGTCATCACCATCATCATCAGATTCTCACCACCACCACCACTACCACCACCACCACCAAGAGCAACAAAAAACTTCTAAATGATTGCTAGTCTGGACAATACATTTCCTGGTCAGCATCCCTGAACTGCTAGCGCCCCTGGACTGCTGGGGGGGACACAGGGCTGGGGGTATTGAGTGTGAAAGTGGATTGTTTTCAGCTGGTCTGGATCAACCATATGCTTACCTGCAGAGATATTTACTCTTGGCCAACACTATAAAATTTATTATCTAAACAGAAAAGATGTTCTTTAACCATCTAGAGATGAAAGAGGCAGAAGAACATCGTTTGTGTGAATGTCTAAGGGAAAGCAATTCTAAAAATTTTGTAACGAAAGGCAAACGATGGTACTGAACATGGGTATCTGATCTATTCTCCACTTTTATTCTTATCTTTAGGAGTTAACGTCCACATTAATGAAAGTTGATCATAGTAATTTCAGAATAAAAAGAAAGCGAGGGTGAAGGGAAGAAATAAACTATAACAGAGCCCAGAAATGAGAGTGGATTCTTAAAAAAAAAAAAAGTGAAAAGATACCTAAAGAGAAATTTAATCTCTTTCAAATTCTTATCAGAGTTCCATGCCAGAAAAACCCATGCTATTACAAAAACCTAATAGTTTTAAAAATAATTGCTATGTATCAGGCACTGTGCTAAACAGCTGACATCTTATTTCCTCTTATTCACATAAAAACACTTGAGAAATCTTCTTGTCTGTACTTTACAGGTGAGGAGCAGAAGTTCCGTGAGGCGCATTAACAGGAGCTGCTAAGCACAATAATGAACTGAGTCGGGTGGGCAGACATTTCCTGGACCGGGGGGGCTTTCAGTTTGATTTTGAGCACAAAAAGGAAAGTAAGAAAGGCTGGAGCTGGATAATGTTTCTCCCGTGAATCATCGGGAAATTGCCGTGTTGTTTTCTGTCTAAACTATCGATCTGCACAGATAGTGTCAGACGGTTGTAAAGCCCCTGTGTGTTTAACTTGTAAAGACCTTTAATCGAGGTTTGATAATGCCAAGGATAACGCTGGGAGAGCCGAAGGTCTCCCCCACAATGCAGTACTGTAATTAAAAGCCACCTTTGATTCTCTCTTGACAGATAACCAACTTGCTACATTGAACACATTCCAGGCCAGAGGCTTCGAAGCTCCAAAGTTTGCGTCCATTTTTATTGAAACCTGTCTCTGGATCTACGTTACACCCTCTCCTCACCCGTCACACGTTCTTATTTGTCTTGTTTTTCTTGACTCATTGATCGAACTCCAAGGAAACCATTAAGAAACTCCTTTCCCAACTCTATGCTCTACCATGACTTTGAATTGTAACCTTCAATTTTATTTCTGTTGCTTTTATACTCTACACAAATAATTAACTCTGGACTCATATCTGTCACCTGCAAAATGGAAAAATTGGTTTAATCATATCTTTCAGACTTTGCTTTTCTAGGTCCTAGGGGTTCAAAAAATTAACTCACATGATAGGGTGGTGGAGGCACTGCTCAGCCAGAGACTTCCTCGAATGGAGGCGTTTCTGCTTTCTGTTCACATATTAATTGGACTTCTTCATAGGATTTCATTTGAAGGGATCTGATACAAAAACAAATTTGAAAACCACTGGATTAAGCTCTTTCTATCTCAAACAGTCTAAGATAGTAATACCCTATGATTCTGCAAGCTTAACTACTCTGACAGAGGGAAGAGCTGTTTTATCTCTTTTCATTTTACATGTTTTCAGAGACTTAGACAGGTTTCTAAGAGACTTAGAGACTAGATCTGGGGGTGATCTACAAGGCTTGGCTGAATGCACCATCGGACCTGATTGTGGCAGAGGGGCTTCCAGGGATAAATTCCTTTCTCATGAAATCATTCATAGCCACTCCACAGGTACCAGAAAACACACACACACACACACACACACACACACACACACCCTCATGTAATTATTTTCCCTGGCACTACTGACCCTGCTAATTTAATGTAGCAGAACAGGGCTGGTGAATTATAGGCAGAGCCAGAGCCGGGTATAACCTCAGCTCTCCCCTCCTCCGCCCTGCCCTCTCCTGCGGTCACTCCTCCCGTTCTGGCTGAGACTGAATGACAGGGCAGAACCCACGTTCACAGTATCTCTTAGGTCAGACGCTCAGAGTTGCCGCGCTTCCTGGAAATCCGCCCCAGCATCTACAGGATCACCGGACGAAATTCCCAGCTTCTGGTGCTGCGGCGAGCAGTCCGCTTTTTCTCGGTGGCTGCGCAGCTCATCAGAGTCCTCCTTGCAGGACCTGCTACCTAAAAACCTAGAGGGGATGGGTACCATGTGCTATGTGGTGTGTATAAATCCAGGTGGAGTGGGAGGAGTGTTTTATTACAAACTTGACTCTAGTTTGAGCTCCTAAGAAGAATTTAAAAGGTTCAAATTGTTATTACTAGCATCACTAATGTGACTAACTGTAATGCTTTCTGGAGACAGTTCCTTAGGGTGAAGAAGGAGCGGCACCGTATCTACCTGAGCTCCCCTTTCCATCTGCTTCCAGCCTCACCCCTCACATTGCACCCCCTGCGTACAGGGTGAGCTACCTCCAATGTAGATCTGGCCGTGCCATCTTCTGCCTCAATGCCTTCCATGGAGTTCCCCTGACTTCTGAGTCAAGTACAAGCTCCTCGGCAGAGCATACAAACAGCAGCCTCATCTTGCTCTGTTCTCCACCCTGCACTGTTGGTTCCTGCCATTCCATTATCACTCCAGCTGAGGGGCAGAACCCCAACTCTTAGCCTGGCTGGGTAGAGTAATGTGAGAGTACCTCTTTTTTTTTTCTCTTAAAAATAGACTGTATTTCTCAAGTCTCCCTGCAACAAAGTCAATGAATGTCCCTATTGAAAATATTGCCTGTAATAATAGTGAATATTTATTGTCAGGCACTAGTGTGTTCTAAGTTCTCATTTAATCATTATAATAACCCCAAGAGATAGGTCCTATTTCTAACTTAAACTGTTGGATGAGGAAACTAAGGCACAGAGAGGTTCCATAATTATCCAAGTACACAAGTGACAAAACCAGGTTTCAAACTCTGGCAGTGAGTTTCCAGGAGCTGTCCTCTTGACCATGCTCTCATATAGTCTCTCATTAAAAATGCAGATTNATAACCCCAAGAGATAGGTCCTATTTCTAACTTAAACTGTTGGATGAGGAAACTGAGGCACAGAGAGGTTCCATAATTATCCAAGTACACAAGTGACAAAACCAGGTTTCAAACTCTGGCAGTGAGTTTCCAGGAGCTGTCCTCTTGACCATGCTCTCATATAGTCTCTCATGAAAAATGCAGATTCCAGGGCCCGNGGCAATCAGGGTTTGATTCCCGGTCAGGGCACATGCCCGGGTTGTGGGCTCGATCCCCAGTTGGGGGCGTGCAAAAGGCAGCCGGTCAATGACTCTCTCATCATTGATGTTTCTATCTCTCTTTCCCTCTCCTTTCCTCTCTCTGAAATCAATAAAGATATATATATATATTAAAAATATGCAGATTCCAGGGTCTATCCACAGCCTATGGGTACACATTTTAAACAAGATCCCAAGGTGATTCTTCTACACGGGTTTGAAAAGTGTTATTGTAAATTGTGTTCAAATGGAAAATAGTGGAAGGTGAGTGCCCTCTAGTGTATACACATGAGTGTCACACATTTGTTGGTGTTAATGAGTCAGTATTTTATCTGTTCTTACAAAGAGCTAGATTTCATGCTGGACAAGTTTTATGGGCTGTATCAAGATAAATTATTTCTATGACAATGACTTAACTGATTAGTACTACCATAAATTTATTGTCACAATAGCATTATGTAAATATTGCCAGAGAACTGTCTCTCCTCACACCCCAGCAGCTCCTGGAAATTCCATTTAAATATTGAAGCCTAGCCCAGCCAGTGTGGCTCAGTTGGTTGAGCATCATCTCTTGCACCAAGAGGTCGAAGGTTGGATCCCCAGTGAGGGCACACACCCGGTTGCGGGCTTGAACCCCAGTAGGGGGAGTGCAGTCGGCAGCTGATGGATATTTCTCTTTCATCCATGTTTCTCTCTCTCTCTCCTCCCTTCCTCTCTCTCTGTAAAATAAATCAATTTTAAAAACCATATGAAAGTGATCACTGCAATCTGCTAATAAAAAAACTTATTTTAAAAATAAAAAAAGTAAAAAAAATATTGGAAGGCTCCATCCCAACAAGTCCGGTTGTTAGAAATGGAGGCACAAATCCTTAGTTACAGTAACGGCTAAATGGGAAACACCAAATGCACTCTGTGCAGGAGGCAGGTTTTACTCATCCTACCTGTGATGGCTGTGTCACAGCGTTGTCTTCAGTAGGTCCTGCTCCATTTATTACCTCAGAAGGGAATCAGACTTTGGGCCTTATGTTCTTCTCTTGTCCTCTTTAAATTGCAGCTGGAAGAAAGGAGAATCCACCTCTTCAGTGTGATGTGTATAAATCCCCTGTATTGTTATGTTAGACTATTGTTTATTCCCAAACAGGAAACCATCCACATATTTTTTAGGTTGGAGTTAAGTGTCTGTAACAAAAAGACCCCAAAATGTAGTGTACAAAACAAGATTGAAATGTGTTTTCTCTGATACAAATGTCCAGAGACATTAGTCCACAGAGTGGCGCTCTTACATCTACACTCAACACACGGATTCCATTTCTGGGTTCAAAGTGGCTGCTCCACTTCTGCTTTCGCATCTGTATCCCAGCCAGTGAGAAAAGGTGAGGGAAGAGCACATCCATTCCTTTTCAGGACAAACCCACAAGTGGCATAAAATAGTTTTGCTCACATTCCACTGGCCAGAATTTGGTCATAAGCTTCAAGAGAGGCCAGGCATGTCTTTAGTGAGACAGCTATATGCCCCGCTAAAACCTGGGGTACCATCATTCAAGGACGAAAGGGAAAATGGACAGCTAGCTGTCTCTGCCATAACCCACTTCATATATTTGGATATTTTCAATGTGCTTCTCTAAGCAGCCAGTTATTTGAAGAAGATGGGCAAGAAAATAAGTACCAGGTATTTCAAGGATGCCAGTTAATGAAATAATAGAATTTTTACAGAGATGCTGCTAATCCAGTTGAGAATGATGTTTTCTTCCCTTTAAGGTCCTTCATGGTAAAGACTTCTAAATTATGAATCTAGACAATTAGTTCAAAATTAGGTACAATCAGTCCTTGCAGTACATGGTTTCAATATTTACTAATTTAAGTGTTTAAATATCACCAATTTCTCAACAACCCAGTTCAAATTTCGGTTACCACATTATATAACTGTGGGTAACTGCCTAAAGCAGACACTCTGTGCTAGCTCTTCAGTCCACAAAGCACTCCATAAACAACAGGTGCACATAATGTTTACTGATCAATCATGTTATTGTTTTCAAAGCCTGTCCGTGATCGTTCAGTTCGCATCTGCTATTCAGTTTATGCACAGAGGACAGTGTGTAGCTATGCTGCTTCCTTGTTTCCCAGTGATAAACCCACTTGATATTTTTAGGAAAATGGATAACTGGAAGAGGTATCTGGCTAACAAAGATGAAAGTCCAGCAAAGAAACAAAAAGTGCTAACACTGGAAGTGAAATCTAATCAACTATACAGTGGTCCCTCAGTTTTCTAATGTAATTCGTTTCCGAAGACCGAGCTCTGAAACGCTGGAAAACCGAGGGATCCACAGCCGACCGCTGGGCCTCAGGATCTTGCCCTCGGCAGAAGCCGGGTGGCCTGTTCCACTTCCGAGGTGTGTTCGAAAACTGAAGCATTTCCTTCAGGTTTATGGCGTTAGTAACCTGAAGTGTTCATCAGCAGAGATGTTGGAAAACTGAGGCACCACTGTAAATGGAATTAAAGAAGAAATGGCCAGCCACAGTCATCACTGCCATATTTTGAGACACTTAGATATTCAGCCAGAGGAAGTCAGGATTCTCCAGAGAAACAGAACCAGCAGGATGTGTGTGTGGAGGGAGGGAGTGAGGAGTGGAGAGGGGGAGGGAGGGAGGGAGAGATTTAAGGAATTGACTCACATGTTTACGGAGGTTGGCAAGTCCCAGCTCTGCAAAGTGGGAGAGCAGCCTGGGGACCCAGATAAAGCTGATAAATTCAAGGTTTGACCAAATATCTGGGCACCAAGGCCCAACCAAGTTGATACATAAAATTAAGCATCATAGGAACTTAGTGAAGGTTAACTTATGGACATAAAGGAAGAAAGTGGTTATAACAAGCCAGGGAAAGACGCCCCAAAGGAAGTGATGATGGTGAACAAACAAAAACAAACAGAACTTCACATTAAAGGAACTCTTGAAATATTTCACAGCACTTAAGGCACAAAGGATAAAACGTTGGAAGCGAAGTCAAACTGAAAAAAGAGCAGGACAGTTCTCCAAGGTGTAGAAAAGGTGCTCGCCACATCATAAGTTATGCAGTAATAAGAGGGCAAGCACTGTTCAAACTATTTTTGACAAGGAAAAAGAAATGGAACACTTTAATTCTGAATATTTCTAATTCTTCAAATTATAGCATACTGAATTAATACTAGTCTCTGTATCTTTTTTATTTTTAACAGAAATTTTGAAGATCACAGGACAACCATAATTACCTCACATTGATTATTAAGGTTGATTTGTCTGACTTTAGTTTGCACTGTCATTTTTATGGTCCCTAAGTACCATGCAAAGTGGGGACCACCTGTATAATATTTCATTTGAAGAGATCATCTGATGGCTCAGATGAAATCTCTATTTCTAGGAGAATGGGAGGAGGGGGGTAACTTCTTTATGTACCCTAAATTCCTAGTAAGGTGTCGGTGCTTAGAAAATATTAGTTTCATTGTTTTAGTGGACAATGACTGTGGGTCAGATGAAGAACAGTGGAGTAATGTTAAGAGAACATTAGAAACAAGGTCTGCACTTGGTCTACACCTCAACCCTAAACCTAAGCTTCAGTTTCTTTATCCATCACATGAGGGTAATAATAGTGGTCCTTCTATTATGGGGCTGTAATGAACACAGTACATAGGAAGTGCCAAATCAATGTCTAAGGAAAGAATGAGTGACCCAGGACTCAGTCTGACCAAGAGTAGTTGGCCTTGCAAAGTTCTCATAACCCTCTGATTACAGCTGAGGCTAGGACACTGTCTACCTGAGTGCTGTTAGGATGAGAGTAAAAGCGGTGGCAAATATTTGGAGCAAGAGAGCCAGGTCCCTTGAAGGTACATACATACCTATATTTGGACCAAGCATATTTCTTCCTTTGTCCCAGTCTTCATTCCCATTCCCTGTGACCTCTGTGCCCTCTAAATGGAGGCTGAATGGCTCAATGTGGGAAGAAGAGTGAAGGAACCAATCTTGGGTCTGGCGGTGGGTTTCCTAGTGGTGCATATTCTTGCCTTGTTAGTTTCCCTCTGTTCTCTCACTCCTTATGGCAAAAAAGAAAATAAGGACATGCTCAAGTCCTCTGCCTCAAACAAAAAGATCCATCTTATAACTGCCCACCCTGAGCCACTATTGTTCTATATATTCTGTCAATTTCACTGTAGCTGCCACCTCATCTGGTTTTCTGAAGTTTCTGTTTCAAAGGCAGCCAGGGACTTCCTAAGTCCCCGAGCCCAGTAGTCAGCATGTTTCTGATCAGAGAGTGAAATTCTCTACCCACTGACCACACCGTTCTCCTAGATGACCTCTTCCCCCAAGCTTCTGTGGCAATGCACCAAAGGTCCCAAGACTTCTCGTTTCCCTTGTCCCTAAATGCCTCTGGTGCTCCACCTTCTAAATGTGAGCCCTTTTTCCTTTCGTTCTAAAAGATCTTCTGTGAACTTCTCATCATTCCAGCTGTGGGTATCTCACAAGTTTCCCCTTTCAGCCCTCACCCCTCTTTGGACCCACATTTTGATTTATACAGCCCACCAGCATCTTAAGTTCAAATGTGCTTTCCCCTCCCTCTGCATTCATTCAATCTCCTCACTTCTAGAAGCAGGTCCTGGTCCTAGCTGAACAGTTAGACACAGGGGGAAAGGTCACTCTAGATAGATATAGAAAACAAAGGAACTGATTCTTGACTCCTAAGTTTATAAAGATGTTGATATGAGTTTAAGTTAAAAGATTTTAAATGTGTATTTTCCAAAAAGAGTAGTCTAGTCCATCAGATGAGACGAATTCTCCATGATATGAGTGAAAGCAGATTTTTATCTCATCTGCAAATACCACTGGTTGCCAGCACCATGAAATCATCATGGATGCAGGTACCCGGGAGCAATGGGAAGTGCCTTTTGTATTGCTGTCTGATGAGGACTCTCTCAGCAGTAGCCCAATGCCCATTGTTCCTTGATTGCTTAACAGAAAGGACTCCTGCATGTTTCCCAACACCTTATTCCCAATATTTTCCTAAATGAGCAACCCTTTGCAGTTGACCCATGATATTCTGAGGTCTCCTAGAACAGATGTTGAGAGCATTGTATAGTAAAGGGGTGGGTGGCCCGGAAGCTCCTGTATCCAGGCAAATAGACAACTGGAGAGCTTTTGGCTGTTTGGTGGAAACAACTCTTTTAATAACTATCTGGATCAAACTGATTACCTCTTGTCCCCCCTATATTTCTAGTTCTTTTTGAATTTTATATTTCTGTTAATCTAAGATTCATAGGCTTAATACTCTGCAATCATAGTTAAAAATTTCTCTCTATAGTGGGTATCTATGAAATTATCTGTTCACTATACTCCCCTTTTTAAAAGTAACATTCCACACTCACTACCCACCCTCCCTAACACTAATTATAGTGGGAGGTCCCCACGTTCTAACATGATTTCATCCATCTGCTACTGCTGGCCATTGTTGATTGGTTGTAGGGTGGGCATCTGAACCAAGATGGAATATTTAGAGTAGTAGGAAGACTTAAGTTGCAAGGAAAAGAAAATCTGATGAACTGTACCTTAATTTATTTTTTTCCCATATGACAAGAACTCCAAAGCTTAGGCAACCCAGGGCTGGTGCATCTGCTCAAGGATGTCATCAGGACCCAGGCTCCTTCTATCTTACTGCTCTACAAACGCTTTCATGGGACTTTCATAATCTTGGTTACAAATGGTTGCTGGAATTCCAGATATCACATGCATATTACTATAGGAAAGAATTATTGAGGGAGCTAAAGGCAGAGAAGGCAAAGGATTAAAGGAACAGTTATTATGATTCTCTTTTATTAAATGTTTCTAGAGTAATTGGGTGTTATATGCACCTCTATAAAAAACTAATTTTAAAATTACTTCAGTTAATAAAAAAGCAAGTTAGCAAGACCAAATTGAATTGGATCTTTACTATACATTTAGCTTTAAAAATCAACTATTTTAATGATCTATGTAAACACTTGCCTCTAAAGGCCTAAAAGTTTAAAATAAAAAAATTCTAGCACAAAAATAGAATAAAAATCTTAAAAAATCCACTTTTTGCTAATCTCATTCCCATGACCCCATCACTACCCTCATTAGAATTTCTGATAAATTTGAAGAAGTGTGTCAAGACAAACATATGTGTTTGACAATACTTTGTTCATAATTAGCCTGAGTTTCTGTATCTAGCCAAAAGTAAATGAACTGAGTCACTGTGATCATATATTTCTTAAGTTTGATATTCAAAATTTGGAATTGGTAAAAATTGTACAATTTAGTAAAGCTAGTGTTGAGTGTGTGTGTGTGTGTGTGTGTGTGTGTGTGTGTGTGTGTGTGTGTGTTTAGAAGGCAGTAAAGCTGTGTCAGAGGGATGTCAGAGGCCTTTTCAATTCTCTGTGGAAAAGGGCAGATTAATATACAATCAGCAGGCCCAAAGTCAGTTACGTTCAACAGAGTTTTGGAGAAGAGGAGGGGTAAAGTTCATAAGGATTCTGAGAAGCATGCAGTTTGAAAGATGATACTTAATATACCTATATCTTCTGAGTTTGTATAAGGCTAGTCAGGTTCTTTTTGGCTGCTAGGGTCACATAAAGCATAAAGCAGTATAGAAAACTGGGTTCACAAAACGATGAGAACCCCTACCTTACACCTTGTTTTACCAAGTTATGTATACTTTTTATTTATCCCCATTAACTTTCTGATGCCTTTTACTCTTTACTGACAACTCAGGCTGAATAGAAGTATCCTTCTTGCAGACAATTTGAACCCCCGGGAAATGTGATTTAAACTCACACTAACCAGGCTGTTAAGGTCTTTCTTAAGCATAACATTTTAAGGTGAAGAAGGTGGGGAGAGTGGTGGAAGCCAGGGGAGGAAATGAGAGAGGCCCTTTGCATAGAGAGGCTAAGGATGGCGAGAGATAGAAACCTGGAAACTAGTACACAGTTGGCTAAAGACCAGCCTATCTCACTGGGCAAACGTTCAACACAGCCTGTGCCTGCTTATCTTTTACTAACATTATGGGTAGTCTCAGGATCAAAGCAAAAATGAAGGGACTTCTTAAAAATGGGTCAGAGGTGCGCTGGCNCTGCTTATCTTTTACTAACATTATGGGTAGTCTCAGGATCAAAGCAAAAATGAAGGGGCTTCTTAAAAATGGGCCAGAGGTGCGCTGGCTGGGTAGCTCAGTTGCTTAGAGCATTGACTCTGTAGAACAAGATTGCAGGTTGGATCCCTGGTGAATCTGGGGAAGCATCCAATGAATGCATAAATAAGAGGAACATATAAGAAGCAACCAATGAATGCATAAATAAGTGGAACAACAAATTGATGTTTGTCTCTCATCTCTCAAATCAATAAAAAAAAAAATTTTTTTTAATGGGCCAGAAAGGTTTCTTCTTGATGAGATGCATGTTATCACCAGGCCCAGTCAAACCTCACCACAGCCATCTAGAACAGGCAAACAACACTTCCTAAAGTGATAGTTCTTATCTTTCCTTTCCTCCCCCAACTCAGCCTCCCAGCAAGCCACACTATGACAAAAATCTTCCCCCAAAGTAGTTTACTCACTTCTCAATCCAGGCCTTTACCTTTCATTAACCTGCTAGAGTCAGGTGTGCTTGCCCCGCGAACATCATGTCCCCATGCAAGAGCTGCCAGTTGCAGTTGTAAATGGATAAACTACACCACCTTGAACAATTGGTCTGCATGTAGCAACCAAGAAAAACTTTAGAAACCACCACCAGTGGCTTAAATTATCCACTACTAGAAATTAAAATCACCCTGGAGACTTAAGGGACAAATTAGCCCATGACAATCATTCTTACACTTTTATGACCACACAACATGGAACTGTGATATGGTTACAGGAACAAAAAAATGTGTCCATCATATCTATGTTAGTTTTTTTTCTCATTTTTTAAAAGTGTGTGTATGTGTGTGTGGAGGGGGCTGGGGAGTAGAGGGAGTGTGAATGTCCTGGCTAGTTCACAGGAGTTGTTAGAAGTACTAAACCTGAGAAATAGTTGGCAGCATCCTAAAATTGTAGGATGATAAACATCTTAAATCTCTTTTTCCTTGATCACCCAAACACACCAGGTCATGAATTTTATGCTCGTCTGGTAAAACAGTCACCTTGCTTTTCCTATCTTGATTATTTTAAATCAGATGGGGACTGCAGGAGCNCCAAACACACCAGGTCATGAATTTTATGCTCGTCTGGTAAAACAGTCACCTTGCTTTTCCTATCTTGATTATTTTAAATCAGATGGGCACTGTAGGAGCAAGGCCTGGGAAGACTAATGCTAGAACTGTTGGCAGTGGCAGGAATGGCGCCAGGTGTTAGACCCACGAGGTCAGACTGGACCTGGGTTCAGTAACCTCGGTACTTGAGTTCTGGCTAAGAACGAATTCAGAGCCAAGACTCAAACTATAAGAGAACATTTATTTTAGAAAACCACAGAAGTATAAGTAATTTGTAGAAGAAATGTGCTTAGGAAACAAGTTATAGAGTGAAAGGAAGGGCTCTTGGCGCTTAGAAGTGAGGGAGGTAAAAGTTACTGAGGGGCAAGGGGATGATGACACAGGCGTGAGCCCGGAAGGGAGACCATGCTGGGTCCCAGGCCCAAGGGTTTTAAGGGTGGAGATTTTAGGGGAGGTCCTAGGGGTAAAATCTCAATAGAATATTCAGCAGCTTTCCAGGTGTGTCCTTTCAGAGTCAGGGCCTCCACTGATGGACTGGTCAGCACCAGGGCAGGAGAGCCTCTGTTCAATGCAGCTGGTCCTGAGGTCAGTCCTGGGGTATTGCTTCTGTGGTTTTGCTGCTTTTCTGGGCCTGGGGCTGAAATACAACTAAGGCCTAGATATTATCTCTAGAGAGGAAAGATGGGGGGGAGGGGGTCCCCAACTGCATGACCAGCAATACCCTAGGGGAGGAAAGGTCACCCTGGGGATGAAGTCCCACCCTACAATTTTCTCCTTGCCATGCGCCTGGGGCTTTCCTCCCTGGTGACCTTCTGTACCTGTCCCATCATCCTTGCTCTGCTCATGTCAGTCTAACTGCCTACCACAGAACTGCGATATTAAGTTGACCCCAGAAAGTATTATCCTAGTATTTCTTAGGAGCCTTTTAGGAGCCTTTTCCCACTTCCTTTAGAAACTGGCCTTCAGGCGAGGAGTTCCCCAGGCTCCGCCCACACCAATCCTACAGGTTCCACCAGCTCCACGGGGCTCGAAACTGGAAGGGGCCTTCTGCAGGTAACAGCGCTAGGATCTGCAACCCGTTTGCAATCGCAGGTCTGGCGGGGGTGGGGTGGGGTGCCTCTGTCCCTATTTCTGCTCCAGTCCCTCCTGTGGTCCAGCCCTCCTTAGTCGTCCCCCTGTGGCTGACTGAACAGCGTCCCAGGGCTGTGCGCGACTTACAAGGAAGCCTCTCGTGCTCTCCCTTGGCTCCCACGGTGCTCGGCACCCGCACGCTTCCCGCCAGCACCGCCCTGGGGAAGGTGGGTTCCTTATCTCCCGGCCGCGCCCCTGCAGGCGGCCACAGGAGCGGACTACAGCTCCCAGACCCCCCCGCGGCCGCCCGCCGTCGGGGAGCGCGACTCCGCAGGGACACTCCGCCTAAGGTTCCTCGCTTCCTCGCCGGTCGCGGGCTCCGGGCTCCCGCGGGGTTCAGGGGCCCATCTCCCCGACGCGGGCACAGCCCGGGTTGACAGCGCGGGAACATGGCCTTGCACCTGGGCAGGCTGGG